CAGTCCTTGTGGCTCTAAGGCCATAGTTCTTCCTCTCCTCTGGTTGCCCTGGTGCTCCTTCAGCTTCACCCTGCCTCCTGGGAGATGCCCAGGCAGTTTGATCATCAAGGGAATCATGGGTGCTGGGGCTGGTCCTACGTTGTCTGGCAATGGCCTGGGGAACACGTATGGTACAGAGAGACAGGGAGGGTTTCAGGGGGCCCCATCCCTGCTAGAATCTGAGTCCCCTCAGACCAGGCACTGCTTCTTAGGCAGTGTCCACATTTGCTCTGGTCTCTATAAGTGTCACCAAGCATCCACCCTTGGCCAGATCCCAAAAGGAAGCAGAGAAGGGTGAGCCTACTCCAAACCAGGCAGAGAGGTGCAGGGAGCCAGGAAGGTGCAGCTGCAGGGGTGCAGGGAGAGACTTTCCTAGCTGCCTCTCTGTGCCACTGCTTGCTCGTCTCTAACGCACTCTTGCACCTGCTCTTAGGGCAGGTGAAGTGAAAATGGGGCACCAGAGAGAGCTAGGGGTTAGGGTCAACTCAGACTGGGGTTGCTGGCTAGACAGCAGGCACCTCTGCTCTTCTGGGAATGGCAGGACCCCTGGAACGGGCTGGTTGTGATATCTGCCAATTTAGTGCCAGTTACGTCACACAGCTGGTAAAAAGTGATGGCTTCCTATGTGCCCAGCAACACTCTCAGTACTTTCTATATATCAGCCTGAAGGAACACCATAGCCGGCAATGGCTGCTGAGCCTGCAGAGCCACTAGCCTCAGGCCTGCTCTGCTCCTGGCTTGGGGCCCTGGACTTGGGAGTTCAGGGGGCCTGAGACTGGGCCTGGGCCTAGGCTGCTGCTTACTGACTGTGTGGCTTCCCTTCCCAGTGTCTCAGGTGCTTCGTCTGTGAAGTACGGACAGCTGTCTCTCAGGGTTGTGGGGAGACTCACTGGAGAGCAACTTGGGAAGTCCTTTGCAAACTGCGGTGATGAAACAGTATTGGTAAAGAAGAGCTCAGGCAGAGGGAGCGGGCTGAAGACACACCGGGGTTGCCTGAGGAAAGAGCAGGAACCACAGCTGGAGGAAGGAATGGAACCCTCCTGAAGTGGGCAGAGTGCGCCCCACACTCTCACTCCTACCTTGTGCCAGGATATTTGTGGTCCTGGGGCTGAGCCAGTGAAGAGGGCATATGTGGCGGTTCCTTCCAGCCAAAGCTGAACCATCTGTTTTAGGCAGAATCACGGCCTCCTAAAATGGTCACATCCTAATCCCTAGGGTCTGTAACCCCACAGGGCCAAAGGGACTTTGCAGATGTGATTAAGGACCTTGAGATGGAAGATTATTCTGAATTACCTGGATGGACCTAATGTGATCACCAAGGTCCTTAAAAGTGACCGCGGGAGGCAGAAGAGGCAGGTCAGAGAAAGCTGTGAGGATGGAGGAGGGTCAGGGAGCTGTCATGCTGCTGGTTCTGAAGGTGGAGGAGGGTCCATGAGCCAAGGAATATGGGCGGCTCTAGAAGTTGCGAAAGCAAGGAAAGGGATTCACCTCTGGAGTCTCCAGAAGGAACCAGGCCTGCGGGAACCTTGATTTTAGCCTAGTGAGCCCTAGGTCAAATCTCTGACCTACAGAAGATCATAAATTTGAGCTGTTTTAAGTCACCTGAGATTGTGGTAATTTGTTAACAACAGTAATAGGAAAGGAATACCCCATCCACCCAAAGTGAGCTCTTGGGAAAAGTACTTGATTTAAAACCTGGAGTTGACAAATATGACTCAAAGTGTCCCATCAATCTTACTACACAGGGACCGGCGGTAAAATTTGATTTTGTACCCTTAGCTGGGTACTCAGATGTTTCACGTAAGTCTGCCAGATAATTGAAATTTATCACTTTAACCTTCACATATAAAAATTTTAACAGATTTTAATGGAAATCTAAAATTGTTTACATGTTTTGAGGCCTCTTACAGTAAACATAACTTACCCTGTCCTTAACCTGTGCTCAGGTTAATTATTACACACAGCAATTGCTGGGTACAGCTGAGAACCCAAGGGTGGGGCAGGGTCATTTGGCCCTCAGTGGCCCCAGGACCCTGCTGGAGGCCCCCTTGTCTCCAGTCTCTGGAGGTATTCTCTCTCTCTGTCCACACTCCAGACTGACAATTTCATCTACTATGTGGAGTGCTCCATTCCCTCCTTGGAACCAGAATCCTGCTCTGACCAGCTGTATGGCTGGAGCCACTTAACCTCTCTGAGCCAGTGTCCTTCCTCCTGTGGTTTCAACAGAGATGGCCACTGGATGGAGTTCTGGGCACCTAAGGAACTCTTGTGGGAGCTGTCTAGTGCTGCGGTCAAGGGCACAGCCTACAGAGCTGGTGGCCCAGGGTCTGACCTTGACATGGACTCCTTGGTCTCACCTTCCTCACGTGCTTCTGGGTCCTTCCCCCTCTGCCTGTCCTACACCACTCCCCTCCCAGACCCAAAACAGGACTTTAGCTACCCACCAGCCCCAGGATCTTCTGGGATAAACCACCTGTGCTCTCTCCCACAGGCCAGCAATACTGACAACATTCACAAATGAAGCTGACCCAATTCTGAGCCTCTCACAGTCTAGGCTGCTCTCACCATGAGGGGCCTGGCTCTGTATGTGATGCCCAGGTATGCTGGGTCCACATAGGGCAGAATGGGGATGTCCACCTCCCTTACTCTCGACACCTTGCCTCTATTAATAGGGTGTGAGAGCAGCCACACTGGGACCTGAGGTTAGAGCCGGAAGTCCAATAGGATCCTAAGTCTTTACCATAAAGGCTGTTCTCAGAAGAGACAGGTGCTAAGGATTCTGAGCTTTTGAGATAGGGGCTCACCAGTGCTCTAGGCTTGGAGTCCCAAGATGAACTTTTAACAGAAGTCTGAGTCTGGTTACCTAGTTCACGGTGCTGGCCCTGACTGTGGGCCCCGCCCACCTGTGGTAAGGGTTGTAGGGAGAACAGCAGAGAGAGATGTCTCTTCCATCTTGGGGCAGGCCAGGCTCTAAGAGGGCAGGATGGGGGATTTTGATAATCAGAGAGATGGGAGGTAGGGGAGGCATTTCCTTAGTCCCCTTCCTGAGAGCCATCACAGATCTCCGATCTGCTCCTTCAACCTGCCCCAAGCCCAGGGTGAGGTTACTTGTATTTTGAGTACCCCCTTCTTATCCCCCCAGTCCTGCTCCAAGACCACTGACTCTAATATTAGATAAACAAGTGCAGAGGACCTTCTTCCCTTCCCCTTACCTCGCCACCCCCTGAGCCCCCCACTGGCTTGATCCCAACTTGGCTCAGTCCTCTCCTATCACCTATCCTCTTCCTGGGAAGGATGCAAGGTACCTGGGGGGTCCAGCTCTGGATCTCTGGCCTTGGTCAGTCATGCCCACTTCTAGTGAGGCCAAGGGCCCTGGGTCCTCTGAGACCTGAGTATGGCCTCAAAACATGGACAACTCTGGGGCTCCTGCCACCCGCCACTTCCCAGAAAGCTTACAGTGCTGACTCATACCTTCCTAGAAGGTAGTGGTCATACCTGCTGGCTGTGGCCAAGGCTGAAGCCCCAAAGCCCACCCCATCTGCCATTTCCAGCTCTTCCCAGGCTAACCCCACTGCCTAAGTCAACAAGATAGCCCTGTCCAGAGAATCTGTGGAGAGCAGCTTCCAGCCTGAGCTTGTTCCATCTGCCTGTGTGAGTGCTCTGATGTTTCTGGCCTTAGTGTTCTTATCTAAGAAACAGGGCCATACTTGTCCCGCCTAGCATGGACTTTACAGTTCACAGAGCACCGTCAATGAGGGCTATGAGCTCCTTTGCTCCTCAGAGCCCTTAAGGGGTGAGCAGACCTCAAGGGGTGAGCAGACCTCAAGTCTTCTTGATAGCACGCAAGACCACATCCCTCTCTGTGATCCCCCTAGACCTCTCTCCTGCTTCCTTTCTAGATACTTGAGGACCACGAAACTAGATGACCTCTCTGTGATCTACAGGCTCTGACTTCCATATGGTCCTGCAACCCTTACATTTTAGATGGTCTACATAGCCATGACCTTTGGGCTGAGCTCAGCTATGCGGGGTAGTGTGTGACTCTGGGCAAGTCAGAGTGCCAGTGAGCCTCAGTCTCTTCCTCTGAGAAATGAAGGTTGCACCATCTGACCTCACAGCTGCCAAGACTGGTGCGAACCATTTGAGAGCCATGAAGAAGTTTCTGACAAGCCTAGACGACTACAGCTACGTGCAGGAGGCTTTGGGCAGCATGTGTAGCCCAGAGGCCAGCGACCTCAGAACTGTAGAACTGACTGATGGAAGAATAAATGAGGAAGCACCTTTTCTGCTGTGCAGACTGAGCTTTCTCCAAGAGCAGTCACTTTCTCTTCCCTCTTCCTTTGTTTTCTCTCACACTGGCCCTATCAGCCCCACCAGCAGGTCTCCCAGGACACCTTGAGTGGCACCTGAGAACTATAGGGCTCTTCCTCTGAGAAGTATTCGAGGTTCTGGCAGGTGGCTTCCCTCCTGGGAGAGGAGATGGGTAAGAACTGTGCTGCTTGGACCCCTTTCTACTTGAACTCTCTCCTTTGTGGCTGAGGCTGTGTTGCTTTGCTGATCCTGGGCACGCTAATTGCAATGTGGGTGTTTATTGCAAGTATTAAAACTTTACAGCAAAGGTCTCTGTACATGCACAGGTCAGGGGACACTTGCCCTGGGTTCTTTGCTACAAACACACATAAGATCAAACATGTCTGATGGAGGGTAAAAACTTTAAAAAGGAAAAAGTGAGTTCACATCTGGAGTGGAGCCCCCCGCACTCACACGTGACACACATGACTACACATGTGGGCACACCCCACACCACACACACATATGCCCACATGCACACGCTCATACCCGCACATACATGCTTGCACCCACACACCAACACACACACCCACACACTAGCACACTCCCGAGACACGCAAGCACACACACAAAGTGCAAGTACGACAAAGGAAGTGGAAGAAAAGTGTTACCCATGAGTAGCCGCCGTTTCACCCGCTTGTCCACATCAGCTACTGACGTGGCATTGAACTGAGAGCGCTCAATTGCAGCCTCATCCTTCTCTAAAACACAAGTAAGGGACAAACATGGAGCCGGTGGTTAATGAGAGCCCACTTCCCGCGGCCCAAGACAGTCAGACTCTTGGCGTGGCATACACAAAGCCAACAGAGCATGCCGGGCCAGCATGGTGTCCTTGCCAAGGGGCTAATCCCAGGAACCTCCAAGGTGGGTGTGTTCAGGGCAAAGCAAAGAGGCAGCAAGGACGAGGGTGAGGAGACGTGCAGAAAAGGCGGAATGACCACAAAATGACCCGGACACAGATGGGATTCAGGGCCCATGTATGAACAGAGGAGGAGGCAGCTTAGGACACAGCAGACAGGACTCATCTGCAGAGGGCCTCAGAAGCTGAAAGCACCACTGTGGTGCTCATGGAGACACAAGCAATCACAGACTCCTGCAGCTCAGTTTGGAGAAGCAGGCACAGGACAAGGCACAGGACAAGGGTTCAAGGCCGCGAGGTCCGGTGATGGATGCACCTGGCACAGCAGATGCTCTGTCACAAGGATGCGCAAATGTGCCAAACACTCGTGCAAAATTAAGAACAAAACATACAGAGGAAAACACACACACATACACAATGGATCCAATCGAACAGACAGAAAACCACGGGATCGATTGGGGCAGCGCTGGTTGCCTGCTTGTCTATAGAGGACTAGAGTTAAACATCCGAGTGCTCAACAGGGGTTGCAAAGAGGAGTCAGTCATTTTAAGAGCGTGTGGAAGAGAAATGGCCCGGGGCAGGCCAGGGAGCATTCTGGCTATGCCAAGATGCTTCCGGTGAAGGAGCAGTGAGGTTAGCCAGTTTGAGTTTCTTTGCTCAACTGGAAATGTGTGGAGACACTTGTTCCCTAGGGGAGAAACTGATGAACAGTGAGCAAAGTCAGATGAAAGGCTGCTCATCCTGGTCAGGAGTGGAAGCAACAGCAGCAGAAGCTGGGTACGGAGGATGATTTCTAACAAGCGGGAAAGGGAAGGCGGGCTTGGGAAGTTACTTTAGAAAGTAGATCCAAGCAGGGACCTTCACATGCATCAGACATTAAAAACTAAAAAAAAAAGAAAGGATAATTCAGGCGGACAAGACAAGATGTGTTAGACGAAGGCTGGGTGTGTCTGACCCAGCAGTTGTTTGCATTGGTCCAGTGGCTGCAGAGCCAGCTCTGCTGGAGATAGCAAACCCTGAGGGAGACCTCAAGCAGACGAGACAGGAGGGAGGCCAGTGTGGCCCAGGGGAACCCCTGGGCAGGACAGTGGAGGGAGAGAGGCTGAAGGAAGAGGTGGAGAGGAGGTTCTAGATGGGATCAGGCTGCAATAGAGACACTGGTCTGAGACCGGGTTTGGCTTTTAATTATTTTTTTGATTATTTGGTTTGGCTTTTGGCTCTGAAAATAATTAATGACCATCAGTTATCAGACAAGACAGGCAATCAGGGACCATCACCAGAAAAGCAGGAGGAATGAGATAAAAATAAAATTAAAAATGGTTGTCTGAAAGAAGAGACCACACAGAGGAAGGGAGAACCACCGCAGGCAGCAGCACCCTATGATGACAGCCCCAGACTACAGAGGTGACAGCCTGGTGCCCCACCTGGCCCTGGGCCCAGGGCCCAGCTTCTGAGACTTGAGGAAGCTGTCACAGGGCACAGAACAGGACAGCAAACTCTGGGCTTCCTGTGCTTCTGGGTGCTCACCAAACCCTTTTCTGTTACTTGAAAGTCCCTCAAGAATGTCTTCTGAGTTGACAATAAGAAATGGGGCTTTTAAAAAAGCATGATAATTGACTTGTTGGGTTTCCAAAGTGTGACAATATTGAAGAGAAAGAAGAGAGTGAACTCTGGGCGCTAACTTTGAAATTCTTCTCTTTCTCAGTTAAAAAATTTGCTGCTATTTTTGAGTGGGGAAAAAAAAAAACCTACCAGTGATTATAGCATGAAACAATCACAAATATTCGAGCTTCCCCTTGGAAATATGGCTCAGGAGGAAGGAGGTGATCTGATTCAGACTCTCATCAAGACTCCATGTGACAGATGAGATGGGGCAGGGCAGCACCGGGAAGAACGGACTTTGGTGGCAGAGGAAGTCCAGCAGAAGCCCGTTAGCTCGGAATGACAAGCAGTTAAAACACCCAAACCCCACACAGAATTCACACCATTCACCTCCCCCACAGTTTAGACAATGTGGACTTAAAGCAGAGTTCTGAGAAAACCTCTTGGTTTTCTAGACTGTCGTGGGCAGCTCACAGAACTATTGGTGGCCGTTAGGTGGATTAAGTGAATCCAGCTGTGTGTTTTCCATATGAGGGGAGGAAACACCTGTGCTTCAGGACCAGCGAATGCCCTTTTCAGGTACATACACCTTCCTTCTCCCCACAGACCACCTACCTGCGACCCCCCCTCAGTTCGAGGACGAGCACATGCAGGAAGCCCCCCATGGTGGAGGCCTGATGATGAGCTGGGTCCTGGTTGGCTGCAGGACCCTGGAGAAGTCTCCACAGAAAGCTTCCCTTGGAGATGCCTGCCATCCACGGGCCTTCCTTTTCTTGTTTCCCCTAAGCTTCCTTCTGGGAAACTGGGACTTGGGCCACATGGTGCATCCGTGGGAGATGGGGAAACACAAGAGTGGTGTGCAGCAGTGGTGCCTACTTACCGATGCATGTCCGACCGTCCGAGTGGAGTGCGTACTTCTGGTGGCAGCCACACATGGGGCCCGTGTCTGTGTCTTCACAGCTGTGCTGGCAGCCTCCATTTCCATAGTTACAGGTTACTAGTTAGGCCCAAAGTGTATATATGTGTGTATAAACAGAACAACAAAAATGATTAGTTTGTCGGTGTTGGCTGTTTCTTTTAGGGTTTGGGGAAAGTGAGGCCTCAGATCATCAGTGGGTAGGATCATTGAGGCTTGCTGGGCAACAGATGCACATTTCTCTGGACTTCAGCCCCTTCAGGACACAGCTTGCTCCCTAGAGCTGAACTGGGGTGGGACAGAGAATGGTCTTAGGGTGTCTGGTCTTTGACAGAGACAGCACACAACTGATATGCTCAGACAGTTTTAGCTGAAGAAAGGGACAGCTAGTCAGCTTCATCCTTCCTAGGCTGCAAGACACTATACAAATGCCTGTCTCGATGGGGCAAGTATCTGTTAATACCAGGACATACTTGACAAGAACACTCATCTCCTTAGTTCTTGCAGGACTTTCTTTCCTTGGCCTATGTCTTGGGGTGTGTGAAAGGATGCGCCCATGGATATCTACCCTCTCCAAGTCCCAGCAGCCATCTCAATCCCCTAAAAGCCCTAATTCTCCTGGAGCTTGACAATGTCTAAGCACACAGATTTATGCAGAGTAATGTCATCTGAGGTGCAATTTTAAAAATGCAATTTTGAAAATGGCCTAAATAAAAAGCATATTGCATAGTTTTCAATGCCTGTAGCCTGGAGGGCCTGGTGCCCTTTAGCCTGGAATCTCAAGATGTTTCATAACATCAGCATCCTAGATTGGCTGGAGAGGGGACTCAACAAGGAGTCAGCCTCAAGTAGAAAAAATTACAAGTTCAAGTTTATTGAAAAGAAAACACTATCCATTTCCAGGGTGAAAGAAATCACTAGATTTCTGTGGGAAGGGTCTTTAGAGCCCCTGCCTTATTATGCTAGAGAGACATGCCTGTTATCTGTATGGAAATGTCCACCAGCATTTCTCAGGACAGGTTGTGTTCTTGGATACCTTAACCATCTGTCCAGAATTCTGTCTACTCTAATTTATTTGGCAAAACCCTAATGATGATCAAATAAGCAAAAATAAATCTCAGACCAACCATGGTCAGAGGGGGCAAAAATGCCAAACCCTGAGAGTCTGAACTAATTACATTCTATTAGCTTGACCCAGCATTGGCATGGCTGGTACCAGAAGGAAGTCATTTGGTAGCAACTCCCGGGAAGGACGCCACACATTTCAGAACTGACTCTTCAGTTGCATCTCTCGGGCACTCCTCCTTCCACAAAGAGAACAGCACAGAGTCTTCTGGCACGCCCATCCTGAGTGGAGGTGGCCCCTCTGCCTCAGACACATGAACCATAGCAGGTGAGGAGGGTATGGAATGGCTTGGTAGGACAAATATCTGCTCAGTGCCCCAGATACTGTCCTCAGTGACCAGAAGCTCTAAGAGACTGATCCCTCTTCTACAGGGAGTTGATGAGCATTCGAAAGAATGAAACTTCAAGGATCTGAAAAATGCTTCCAGAAACACAAGTGACCTTTGAACACAAAACCTTCTGGCCCCTTATCCATGGAAGTCACTCTTCTCAGCACTCCCGGGTGGAGGTCTGGCATCCTGGAGTCGCATGCTCTCATCTCCACACAGCTTGTCTCTCTGGCCAGGAAGAGACCTAGGGAAGCCAAGTCTTCCAGGAGGCTGCAGCCCTGCACAGATCTCAGGCCAGTGGGAAAGACCCAGGCAGAGCCCTGTCTTGGGCTGGATGTCACATGCCTTCCGGGGACTAAGAAGAGTCCCATTTCAGTGTGGGCAGGGGTGGAGCTGGGGAGAAGATAGTGAGTTTACTGCAGGCAGTTCTTCTCAAACTCCAGGCTCTTGGAGATGGGTTGTGCCCTGAAAGTGATTCTGATGAGGACACAGGCCTGTCTGAGGCAACGTGAAGGAAGGTTACACTCATGTTGCTCACCCTTTGCTCCCTTTGCACATGCATCTCATAGGCCCTCGAGGGCTGAGCCTTGGAGCACCTGGAGAGCCTGTAGCTTGTACATAGAGAAACCTGAGTCCAAGCTCTGGGAAGACAGAGAGAAGGATGGGAAAAAGCCTCCTCTGGCCCTGGAGTGGGCTCAGGGCTCTAGACAGATTGGAGTTGGGTCTCATTGTACAGTGAGGCTGGCTAAGCCAGGCCTCAGCACCCAGCTCAACTTGAGATCTGGACTTTCCTGAACCACTAATGACCTCAAGGGCTACAGTGAAAATCTTGGAGTGAATTCACACCAACCAAGCCTCATTAACTGCACAGAAGAAACCAAAGCTGGACTGGCTGGGCCGTCACCCGTACAGACTCTTCATAGGAGGTCTCAGGGGTCTAGAAATCATATCAACCTTTCCAGGGCTTGGGATACCCAGCCACCCAGCAGGGAGGGTGGAAGTGCTGCTTCTTAAACCACCAAATGTTCCAGGCAAGGATTTAACTCTTCTGAGACCAGGGTGGCCAGAGTGGGGGTGGGGGTCCTAGCTGTTCACAGGACCCTGCCTTGTCTCTGACCGCTCATGCTTGACCAGCTCCTCAGGAGATGCTCTCTGAGTAGTTGTCCTCCTTGGAAAACTTGTCCCAGGTGGAACTATAGAATCAGGTAGAATCAGGTAGAAAACTGGTCCCAGCTGTGCTGGCCTACAGCCTCTCCCCAGCACTGGGCTCAGGGCCTGGCTCAGAGTGGGCACTCAGCCTGTTTTCTGGCTAGTGGAATGCATTGTCCTTCTGGCTGAGGCTATCCATGAGCCTGCTGACTCCATGTATTCTTGTCTTTTCTCCTGAGGAAATGTGGATCACCCAAGAGGGAGGACTGGGAAAGTTGGAGTTAGCCTTTTCTGTTCTGAAACTGGCCAGGTGGCAGCAGGTTTCTCTGCAGCTAAAGGAATCCATCTGGTATGGAGGACACCTGGCTGGAGCCAGCATTTCCCAGTCAAGACTGCCCGTTTGGTCCTGTCCTTGGTGACAGCATACATGCTTATCTTTGTTATCCCACAAGAAAGAGCCAGGAACACAGAGGAAGGCTGGTCCACATCTTGGACCACACCTAGGGCATAAAGAAGCACCTTCACTTTGTGGAACAGACAAATCACAAATGAGCATGAGCTCCTGGAGACAGAGACCACATCCAATGCATGTGGGTGCCTAGGGCCTTGGTGACTGTCAGAGAGCATGAGTTGGGAAAGATATATGAGGCATCGAAAAGAGAGCTGATGACAACTGAGAGAAGCACAGTGACTAAGGATGATGGACTAACAAGGGCCAGCTGTCTTCTCCGCAGAGTAGTAGATGGAAGAAAGGTCATTTTCTTTAGGACAGCCTGCCAGCCCCAGTCTCCTATTTCAATAGCTAGGATGAGGACCACTTTCTCTACTGGAATCAAAATTGGACTCCTCATACCATTTTTTCTTCTGATCAGAAGGTGGGCTTGGTATGAAGCACATGTCTCTGGCCACAGATGAGAAGTGCTTCCAGCAGCCCCGCTCTGCTCTTTGCTCCCTCAGGGCAATCATGACATCACACTGGGTATCCTTGCTGCCTGATGAGGAGAGCCCATCCCACAACCTCCCGGCACGACTGTTGGGAGGGTGTGCTGTGTTCAAAGCTTCCAAGGATTAGCTGAGTGTGTTCAGCCAGTGTCCTGCTTTGTTTCCTGGCTCCCACTTCTATTGTGGAACTGGGTGACCCTGTTAAGAGGCTGGACTACTTGTGAGCCCTGCAGGCAGACCGCCAAGCAGGTCCTGAAATGGCACCTTTGGCAAAAGTCCTCATTCAACCCAGATCTCCCAGGACATCACCCTTTACAGTCAGTCTTGCAGGGGTCAGAATGCGAAGTCTGATCATCATCATCATCATCTTCTTTTTTTTCTTAAAGAGATGGGGTCTCACTATATTGCCCAGGCTGGACTCCAATTCCTAGGTTCTCGACTAGTTGAGACTGTAGGCACGAAGAGTTCTGATCTTGACTGCAGAAATAAAATCAGCACAGCCCAACATGGGACCCCCCCAGAACCAAACTCCTTTCCTTCGCTGTACCATTCCCACTGGGGAGCTTAGGCTCAGGGCCTGACAGATCAGCTCCTGGGGCTGTGTCAGTGGTGTCATGCCTGGTGGAGAAAACCTCAAGCCTTGAGTTTATAACCCCTGTCTTTCATGCTCCCGCCAGGCCCCTCCAGCAGGTCCTGCCCTTCTTGCCACCCCACGGGGCTAGTAACCCTCCCTGGCCAAAGTCCAGCAGACTGGACAGACCCTCTATGAAGCAATGGCAGGAGACGCATGGGGATGTCTGACCCATTTGCCTCCATCTACCTACGTGTGCAGTCCTTCTGGTTTTGGGCAAGGTCAAAGCCGGGCCTACAGTCGCAGGCTACCCCACCTTTGGGCGTCTCCCGGCAGATGTGGGCACAGCCATGATCTTTGTTCATGCAGTTCATGCCCTCTGGGAAGAGAGACGGACAAGAGGGGTCGGGGACCAGGGGGAGAAAGGGAGAGAGAAAATTTCAGGCTGAAAAGATAGTCAATGATATGTCACAATCAAGTGTGCTCTTTGGTTTTCACTGCAAGTACTGTGTGCACCTGCATGTACACATGTGCACACACACACACACACACACACACACACACACACACACACACCGATGTGTGCCAGTCACCCACATGAAGACCCCTTAAGGAGAAACTGAGGACGTGGTTCCTGGGTTTAGAGTTGGGGCCTTGCTCCGTGAGCTGTGTTGCAAATGATGCCCCAGTACCCACAGAGAATATAGAGTGTGATCTGACACTTTTGTGTCAGGGTCATTTGGCCCCCTCTCCTCAGTCACCCACTCCCTACCCCTCTGCAGACTTGATCTCCCCTCCCTGTCTGCCTTGAGTGGCTTGGACCCCCCCTTCTGTTGACCCTAGTTGATGTTTATCTTCCTGGTGATTTGTGAGGAGTTTCCAGAATTTATGAGGTCAGGGGTCAAGTGAGAGGTTGTAGGTCACAAGTCCATCAAGGGGCCAAAGGCAGATGAAAGGGAGAGCCGCTGTCTGCCAACACACTGGCTCTGTGAGCTGCCTTCCACCTCCACCAGCAAGAAGCTCGTGCAGGAGTGAAGCTGACCTCGGAGACTGGACGTGAACCCTGCAGACAGGCTAACACACACAAGGCTAACACATCCAAGGCAGCCTCCTTTCCCAGGGGACACACTGGCTTCTTGTTTAAGGTAAGGACGAGCTCAATCTTGACCCTGCCCACTTTCAACATGGGTGTGCAGCAATTTAGAGTATATTTAAGAACATCAAACAGCTAGTTACAATAAAGATTTTTTTTTTTTGAGTTGGAGTCTCACTCTGTCACCCAGACTGGAGTGCAGTGGCACGCTCCCGGCCACCGCAGCCTCGACCTGCTGGGCTCTGGCGATCCTTCTGCCTCAGCCTTCCAAGTAGCTGGAACTACAGGCACGCGCTACCACGCCCAGCTAATTTTTTTGATCTATTGTAGAGATGAGGTCTCGCCAAGTTGCCCGGGCAGGTCTCGAACCCGCGGGCTCAGGCAATTCACTCACCTCAGTCTCCCAAGCGCGGGATTACGGGCTGAGCTACCGAGACCGGCTACAATAAAGATTTTTTAAACTCTAAAGTTAAAATCAAATCAACAAAAAAGTGGGAGACAAACAAAGCCTGTATTTTGCCTAGCACCAAGCAATCCTGGTTTCATCAGATTTTGCCACTCTTATTATTCCTTCACTTGATTTTTCTCACTCAAATCAAATTGTTGGACTGATGCTGAGTATAAGCAACCAACGAATGAACAAGTAAAGCATGCTCATGCTGCTGCTCCTCCCAGGAACTACACGTTCATGTGGACAGTCCATCCTCTCGGCTCACTCAATTCAAAAAGAGCACATGTATGTGAAATCGCACAGACAAGTGAGGGGCTGATTAGCACTTAACAACTGGTGGGGGTGGAGGGCTGATCTGCAGCATTTGCCAAGTTCTGTGGTATAAATACTCCAACCATGGCTAATCTTGAGGCATCTGGGGGATGTCATTGAATGTGGAGCTGGGAAGACGTGCACAGTTGGCCTGCGGGAGCTGAGACAGGCCAGCCACAGCACACCACTTAGAAAAGGTTGTTGTAAAGTCAGGTGGAAGTAGATGTCACTCTGGCCTCCTCACTAGCTGTGTGCCTTGAAGACAATTGCTTCACTTCTCTGAGCCTCATCTGTAGAATGGGAACAATAATCTCTGCCTCATGGAGGAGGTGTGCAAATTAAGTGCAGTCACAGAAAGGAAACACCTGGCAAAAACAGACTAGCTCTCTCTATGAAAGCATTGACTTTTGAAGGCTGCTCCTTTCCCCTGAGGGTCTGGGGAAAGCGTAGATCTTCCCTGGAACTCTGGCGAGGCTTCAGTGATGGCTCTCAGTGGAGAGACTTTCTTGGGCTATTGAGACATATTCAGTTTCTTATCAGGTGTTCTGGGAGACGCCTACCCTGGTGAGAGCTTGGCCAATGGGTAGTGGTCACCAAGACGTGCCCCTGGCTGTTTAATGGCTATTGTCAATGGTGGGCTCAGAACCTAGGATCACCCCCTCGATCTCTGCTCATATGGCCTCTGGGGCTCCCTCGTGTTCCAGCTTCTTCCCAGCTTCATCTCCTACCCCTCTTACACATACTCCACAGTTGTAATCCTATACTGCCTGCTGGCCATCCCCCAGGAGTGCCCCATCCCGCTCTCTGCTGCTCCTTCCTCCTAGGACACCCCCTCCTGTCTTCCATCAACCAAATCCTAGGTCTGTCTCAAACTTCACCAATTCCACTAAGCCTCTTGACTCCTGTGCTATACTCCCCAGGTATCCTCATGCCTCCACCCCATGCTAATTTTCTATGGCTGTCCCAGGGCTGGCTGGCACAGAGATCAATGCTGTAAGCACGTCTGTGCTTTCTTCCTAAACTGGGAAGAGCCCAAGGGCCTCTATTTAGCTCAGGCTTACATGTGATAAAGAAAGGGAGATTGAATTTCCATCCCTAGCCAAAGAATCACAGTTTACGAGAAGCCCTGCTAATCATCACTAACCATACATTTGTCACTGGGGAGCTGATGCATCCCTGAACCTGGGGCTACGGAGTATTTAAGCTTTAGAGATCTTTTCTCCCTCCCTGTGGACTTGTCATCAAATGATCTTTCTTTTGGAGAATCTAGACTTTAATAAAGAGCCAAGATGTTGTTCTTTTGCTGGCAAAGGACAGTTTGGGTGAGTAATCTAGCATCATTCTAGGTTGTAGTAATCCACAATAGATGTGACACTAAGCAACAGAATTGCAGAGCTGGGAAGGGTAAGTCCCAGTCCCTATTTGTATCCAGCCAGTCTCCAAGGTCTCTGTAGTCCTCTTAACAACTGGGGCTGTGATGGGGTGGGGTGGGGGGGGCTCCATCTCCCATCTAAAGACCCTGAAGCAGAGCAGAGGTTCTGTGATTGGCCCTCCTCACTCAACACTCCACCACAGGCTCCTGAGCACACCCTCTTGCCTGGTAGCCCCTGCATGAGAGCTCCCACTCTCGCTCCAACTGATGGCAAGAGACTGGCTTCAGGACCTCTTTCCATTCCCATAGTTTTAGAGGAGCCCAGGAGCTTTGGTGTATGTGTTTATGTAATAGCTATCAGGATTTGCCATGCTAGAGCCAACAGTTACATGAAAACGTGCTCAGCCTCACTAGTCATCAAAGAAATGCAAGTTAAAACCACACTGAGATACCACCTAACTCAAGTCAGGATGGGCATATTAATAACTCAAAAAAACAACAGATGCTGGAGAGAATGTGGGGAAAAGGGAATACTTCTACACTGTTGGTGGAAGTGTAAATTAGTACAGCCTCTGTGGAAAACAGTGTGGCGATTCATAAAAGTTCTAAAATCGACTTTCCATATGACCTCGCAATCCCACTACTGGGAATATACTCAGAGGAACTCAAATCACTCTATGAAAAAGATACCTGCACACGCATGTTTACTGCAGCATTATTTACAATAGCAAAACCATGAAACTAACCTTGTTGCCCATTGAAAGAAGACTGGATAAAAAAATGTGGTACATATACACGATGGAATATTATGCAGTCATAAAGAAGGACAAAATTATGAACTTTGCAGCAGCTTAGATGGACTTAGATGCTATAATACTGAGTGATTTTTCACAGAAACAAAGAACTGAGTATCACATGCTCTTACTCATAAGCGGATCTTGAACAACCATCGTAATACTATAATAAAGGGGTTGGCAAAAGTGGGAAACTGCCAGGGGAGGGAGAGGCACACCTCATCAACAAGGGTACCTGCATAATGAACATTTATTTGTATATCTAACCCTGAATTGTACTCCACATATTTTAAATAAAAAATTTATTAAAAAAAATTTGCCATACTAGAAGATAAAGAAAAGGATTTATATTTTCTTATTTTTTAAAGAAAACTTATATGCTAGCATAACTTATAACTAATATATATATATTTAATTTAATTATTTTTATTTTAAATGTGTGGGGTACAATTCAGGGTCATGCATGTACCTTGTTGATAAGGGGTGGTGACTTCCAGCAGATTCCCATTACTGTCAATCCCGCCCCTGCCCTCCCCTGGCAGTTTCCCACTATTGCCAATCCTTTTCTTATAGTATTATGATAATTGTTCAAGGTGCACTTATAAGTGAGAACATGTGGTACTCAGTTTTTTGTTTCTGTAATAAGTCACTCAGTATTATAGATTCTAAGTCCATCCAGGCTGCTGTGAAATTCATAATTCTGTCCTTCTTTATGATTGCAAATAGTCCACTGTGTATATGTACCACATTTTAAAAATCCAGTCCTCTTTCGATGAATATATTTTTATTAAAAACTCTATTTTCCAAAACAAGGGAGGGTCAGCCTGAGATGAGCCCTTCCAGCTCTACCAACAGCCAGGCTGAATGAGTCAGGCTCACATGCTGTGTGGCATGGTTGGAATCTGCTCGGCCTGAATGCTTCTGGGGCATCCTTTTCCGGAAAAGGGTGGCCATCAGAGAAGCACCATCACATTTCAAAATGACCCTATGGGTCTGGCCAGAGGTGACTGCAGCTCCTTTGCTGGTTGCAGTGCTTTACCCTCCACTCTGGGGCAGTATTGGCTTCTGCAGGCCATGTGCAGACAGGTGTGGTGGGGCAGAACCACAGACGGTCAGGGGTGGACTGAGCCCTGCAGCCCATCTTATCTATCTCACGGAAGGAGAAAATGAGACTCTGAGATAGGCAGTGGATATCCCAGATCACACAGTTAGGCTGGAGCCCAGGTTGTGGGGCTCCCAGCCCAGGCTCTGCCACCCTGGGGCCACCGAGCTACCCAGGTGGGACCTCGAAGATTGCCTGGCATCACATATTTCCTGGGGTGAACAGAATTAGGAACCCGGTACAGAGTTAGCCTACTGTATGGTGCCTGTTATTGTTTATTGTGCCCAGACTTAAAAGCTGATTGAAATTCAAGGCCAATTCAGATGCTACCTCCTCTGTGACACTTTCTGAGCAGCTCCTGAACCAAGCATACAACTCCTGGCTCCTCTTGTGACCCTCCATGGCTGTCATGGAAAGGTCGAGTATGAGGACCGAGTCTCAGCTCTCCTGCACCACAGAGGTCTCTGACCACATCTGCTACCCCTCCAGCCTTTCCACACAGTGCCAGGCTCCTGAGCAGCTGCATTACGACTGTCTGGGTCTCTAACTCCTCTGCCCACTTATCTTCCAAGTCCCCACTGGGGCCCTTTGCAACCACCGTGGCCTTCCATCCAGCTGGGAGGCCTGGGGCAGGCCTGGCCCGCGCGCATGGCGGCTGCTCCATGAAGGGTTGGTTATGAACTCTGGCTGCCTCTCAAATGAGGGAGAGGAAACAGCCTGCCTAAGAGGCCAACTGGGCCAATTCCTTGGGAAGTCCTGTATGGAGGCTCCTCCACAGCCCTCCCTTTCTCTGGTTCTGGCCTTGAAAACTGGTCCCTCTTCTGCCTTACTGATGTCAGCCTTCCCATAGCAGCCCAGGATCTTACCCCACAGACCAAGCTGGTTGTTCTTGGCTCTCTGTGTGCTTCTTCCTAGCTCAAAAAATGCTGATGAGGGTGACTCTGTATCTTCATCTGCTGTTGGTCTATCCCACTAGGTGGTGAGCTCCTCAGGTAGGGGATGTCCTATCACTGCTGGACTCTGTCACTGCACACAGCAGACACTCAGTCAATGCTTATTGGGTGAGTACACAAAAAGCCACCAGAAGAGGCCAGCTCCAGGCTCGTAAGATGGCACAGTCAAGGGCTCACCACCACCACTACAGCATCTGAAGGAAGACCGACCCACTCAAAAGATGGGCTGGAGCCCGCCCACACTGTACAATACCTGAGTCTCTGACTGGACTGCTGTCTTCTCTGAGTCTCTGCTTTCTTGGCTGTGAAATGGGAAAGTAACAATCTTTGCCTCATGGGTTGCTCAGAAGCTTAAATGGGGGCACTATATCAAGTGTGGCACAGGGCAGGTCTCAATAAAGCATGACTTTTTACAGCTCTTCCACTTTGCTCCTATCATCATTCTGCCTTGTATTAAATCAGAGTAGTTGCTGAAGTTCTAATCTCTCCTGCCAGCCATGGGTAACTTGAGGGAAATCTGAGCACTAATCTCTCCTCTATCACAAGTACCTGGCACAGGGTTAGGGGACAGCAAACAACAGAAGGAAGGAAGGGAGGGAGGGAGGGAGGGAGGAAAGGAGAAAAGAGAGGGAAAGGTGGGAAAGAGGAGAGGAGGGAGAGAGGAAGGAAGAAGACAGAGATAAAGCTCTCATATCTTGGAACAGATCAAGTCCACTGTCTGTTGTTTTAGGGGGAAAGGCTAGGATTTGGAAAATGCCATTGTGGCATTCCTGGTTGTGTGTTTTATGAAACACAGTGCTTTGGATGCCTGACATAGAAAATTCACAGCACATAGCAAAGGCTCTGAGAAGTCCTGCAGTCATTGTGGAACAGTCCCTCTCCCATCACTTAACACGGCATTCTGGACTGGAAGAGATCTCAGACCTAGCAGGGTCTAAGGACTCCTAAGGTCCCTAGGCCAGGGTCCAGCTCCTCATTTGACAAAACAGTGGCACAGGGACCAGGGTGGCAGGTTGGGGCAGAGACAGGGCACCGGTCCACTCCTTGGAGCACATGTGGCTACCTCTGCCTCGGAACCTCCCTTCTCTCTTCCAGAAGGACCATCCTGAGAGCAGTCGGCTAATGGGAGAAAATGCCAGCTCACCCCATCCTGCAGGTAATATTACTGATGGCTACTCCCAAGGGTCATGGGGGACCAAATGGAGGCTTGAAGGTGAAAAGGTCATCCCTGGGGCATGCAAGATGCTTGGTACCAAGCACTTTTGTTTCAGGAGAATGGTCTTGGACTCCAGATTGGAAGGGACCTTGTGGGTCTTCGACTCTACCCCCTCTGGTCTTGGAAGCAACCCCAGCCCTATCTCAACTCCCCCGAGCTAGCCAGGCCCACTCTGGCTTGCTCTGGCTAGCAGACTGTTTCCACCAATGCCAGCCTGCATGCTCCTCAAGGTCAATGGTGAGCCTGCTCATGCCCCACCCCAATCCCAGAGGCCCAGCCCAGGGCCAGGCACAGAGAAGCTTCTGTGAGCCTGCAGGACTGAAGAGCCCTGGCTCCAACTCTGTCTGCTGTGACTCCCTGCTTTGTGCCACGTCTGTTCCTGGCAGCCATATGACATCCTCAGCCTAGACATGGGAGAACCATGGAGAGACAAGTTCAGCAGAAAGACCTGCTTGTCTCCCCTCCTTGAAGAGAAGTGAGATAGGATTTCAGAGTCATTCCCAGAAATCCTGGTCTTCAGAGGCCCAGTGCCCATCAGACCAGGCTGCCCGCCAGGTCGAATCTAATCTGATCCAACCCAACCAAATCCAATTACACTCTACAAACTCAGACCAAGTGTCTTCTTGGTGCCTGGGATGGGCTAGGGAGCAATGAGGAGACAGATGCTTTGCTGCCACATTGCCAGGTTCACATTCGAACTCTGCTATTTACTGCGTGACCTTGGGCAATTCACCTCTGAGACTTAGTTTCCACTTGTGTAGATTCACATAGCTGCAGGACCTGCCTCCTAGTGTACACTAAACATGCAACCCCTTCTCTAGGTGAGTGAGGTGCTGGTCACAGGTGCACATGAGGCTATTGTGGGACTTCATCCTGGGCAGGAGGGAGCCACGAGAGGATTGTCAATAGGGAAGTGACACATCTATATGTCAGAAAGCTCTCTGGACGCTGTGTGGAAGGTGCCCTGGAGGGGCAGGACTGCAGGCTGGTGAAGTGGAGAGGCTGCTGCTATCACCCTGGAAGGGACAAAGGAGCCCGGTGGGAGGGCTATGGCTATGGGACAGGAAAGAAGGCTGGATTGAACACATTTATCTGACTGCCTCAGGACCACTTATTCAAGGCTTCTTGGGTTTGTGTTTTTTTTCCCAGGGCTGTTGTCAATCATATTGGTTTAGAATAAATCTCTTTAAAATGTTAAAAAAAAAAAGACTTCTTCCCCTGAGCTTTCTGGAAGACCTGATATATGGACTTGGACCCCTATAGCAAGCCTGAGAAGAGGCATCGGCCTGCCTACCTCCCGGACAAGTGCACAGAGGGTGGACAGAGTGGGGGAAAGACCTTCCTTTCCCAAGTGCCCCACACTTCCTCTTGATGAGCCCCTCCCTGAAATCCTTGCCTTCTTTGGATGTGCCAGTAGGCCCCGGCAACTCTTCCCCACCAGGGCCTGTTTATTCCAAGGGGTTTCTATCATTCTTGGATGCCCCACTGCATGGAGAGAAACGCTGGCAGCATTTGCCCAGCCCCAGGCCACTGTGTGCATCCCATCCTCAGCAATGCAAGGTTCACGGGTGCATCTAAAGTAGGGGGCAGGCCCAATGTGTTTGTACTTAGGAGCTGGGCCTTTCTCGCGGCCATGGCCTGGATAACAAAGCCGAAATGTGTGCCTCCTGAGGGTCGTTGCTATGGAGACTTCATCAATAACATTATTTTCTGCATCCATGTCCCTTAAACACATGGGAAGGGACGGCAAGCTGGGAACGGCAGAGCAGGGAGAAAAGAACAATTACCTTGCTCTGCCCTTCCCCCTCAACTTGGGAGGAAGGGATTTTCCTCCCCTTTACCTCATCAATAGAAAATCACGGAGCCCAGAAAGAGACTGGAACCTTGGGGGCCAAGGGGCAGTAGAAGGCTGCTGCCCTCCCCAACCCAGACTGTGCAAGCTGGCCAAGCCATGCAGGGAAAAACAAACACAGGGCTCCTACTCGCTTTGAAGGGGGTTGAAGGAAACATCCGAAAGGTCCTGCAAGGGGGAAGGCACAGGAACAGCTGCAGGGCCTGGACTGGAGGGAGAGATGACGATGACAGCAATGGCAGCTGCACATGCTAGGCATCTAGAGCTACCTGAGTGCCACGCTCTGTCCACACACTGCAGACATGTCGCCTCCCTAGTTCTCCTAGCAACCCTGGAAGTGGGGTGTTATGGTACCAGCTGAGCTTTTTCATCTGAAAATCCAAAATCCGAAACTTTTTGGGTGCCAACATGACAGCCGCAAGTCATAACTACTTAAAACAAACTTTGTTCTATGCGCAAAATTGTTAAAATATTGTACAAAATTGCTTTCAGAATATGCGTATAAGGTATATAGGAAACTAACGTTTCCATGTTTAGTCTTGGGTCTCATCCCCAAGATATCTCATTATGTTTATGCAAATATTCTAAAGGTCAAAAAAGTCCAGAATCAGAAGTACTTCTGGCCCCAAGCATTTTGGATAAGGATAGTCAACCTGTATTACATCCACTTAACAAATGAGAACACCGAACACACAGATGTCAAAGACTGAGGTGGGGTCAGGAGGCTGAATCCAGGGGACAACTGAAGTGAGACAGAATGACAACAGCTCTGGGATACAAAATAGGCCCACAACCACAACCTTGCTGCAGGATGATGACAACCAGAGCTACCATTTATTGAGCCACTACTGTACACTAAGCACTTTGCATAAAAAATCTCCTTGAAGCCTCACATCAAAGTAGACACTATAATCCCCACTTTGCAAGTAACAAGAGTAGGACAAAGAAAGGATCAGTAACTTGCCCAAGATCCATGGTGTAGAAGGGATGGGCTGTGAACTTGTGTTTGACCCAGAACAAGGGAAAGCGCAGGGGAGCTCTGGGGGAGGAATCCCCTTTTATCCCTTAGCTTTCCCAACTTTGAACTGGAGGGCTGGAATGACCCAGTCGCCTGCTCCCTGGCTATTTCCACGTTTCCAAACTCTGTCTCTCCAAGGCCATTTCCAATGCCAGCTGCTCCTGGGTTCCTGACTCTGACCCCGCCCCGCCAGTCACCTCAGACCCACTGAGAGCTCCTTGAGGGCCAGGAGCATGCCCTCCCCAGGGTGTAGGCCTGGCACAAAGATAGAGGCCTTTACAACAGTGCACTGCAAAGTAAGTCGCTTCATTCCCATTTTATAGAACTGCTTTAGAGAGATGAAGCAATTTGCTTGTGGTCACTGGAGTCAGGCATGGCAGGAGCAAAACTTGAACCCTGGTCTTGAAGATCTGCTGTCCTCCAGCTGCAAAGGGAACTTTCTAGAGCATAAACCTATTTGTGTCTTCCCACTGGGAAAACACAAACAAACAAATAAGCAACCCCAAACCTTCAATACCCTCCACCCAGTGCCCACAGGGGTTAGTCTGAAAGTGCTCAGTGTGGCACTCAGGGTCTCCCTGACCCCACCCACCTGTCTGTCTAGCTTGTCCCCACCCTTTGTGGCTGCCCTGCATAACCCACCCTTCCTTCTCACCCTAGAGCCTTTGGGAGTGTGCTTTTCTCTGTCTGGGATATATTCCTTCCCTCCTTGGAGTGGCAATTTCAGACTAGTTACTTGAGATCCCATTTGGGTGTCACCTCTCCTAGAAAGCCCTCCTTTCCCCAACCCAAGTGCCTGGGCTGGATTGGCACTGTGCCTGAACCCTCCCAGCTTCCTGCCCATGCAGCACCCACCACACTAATTGTAACTGTCCAGATGGGGCTTCTCAAGCGGGCAGGGCCCATACCTGAGTTACCTCTTTGCCCTCGTTCCCTGTGCAGTGCTTGACTCCCCATGGATGCAAAAGAAACATCCAATGAACCCAATTGCACTGGTGAGGGCCTGGGCTCGGCCACTCTGGGTTTGGACTCTGCACTGGAACGGGGACCAGTGCTCAGACAACAGCGCTGCATTTGTCTGTAGGCACAGGGCTGGCCGCCGGTTCGGCTCCCCCTTGATCCCCTAATTACACACTGACAGAATCTGCCCGTGAGTGGTGTGCTGAGAGCCTCTCATTATGCAGCCTGGGCTTCAGCAGAAACACAGGACTCTACCTTCTACCCTGTAGCCCCCAATTACATCCTTGGGGGCAAATGCAGGCCTGGTTGGGCACCAGCAGCTGGCTTCCTCCGACTCAACCCCTTGCTGACTCTGAGCCTGGCCACCTCCAGGCAGCACCTCTAGGAGCAGCCCAACCTGGGAAATGGGAGTGGCTGAAGACTTTGGGTTTCCATTTACCCAGACCTCCTCTGTGCCAGGCACCCTGCCAGGCTCTTTGCAAACCTCCTAATTGAACATCTCAACAGCTGAGTGCCAGGCACCACCAGCACTCACCTGACAGGTGAGGATGCTGAGGCTCAGAGAGAGAGAGAGAGAGAGAGAGAGAGAGAGAGAGAAAGAGAGAGAGAGAGAGAGAAATGCTCACCTCACATCCCACCAGCCTTGGTGCCCACTCAGCAGCCTCCATGGCCCCTAAAGGGGTCCCTCTTCCTCTCACCCTCCTTGTCACCACCCCTTGTGTTTTGGCCAATACACTGTATTGGATGCAGGTGAAAGAGCTCATCCCCTGGAGCCTCTTGGGGTCCTGGGTCCCAGCTGGGTGTGTGACCCAGCATAGAGGCTGGCCACTCTGCCCACTCCTCTTCCTGCCCACCCCACATGTCCACAGCACTGTCTCTTCTGCCTTTACACCACCCCCAGGTCCTCCTTCAAGCTTCAAAGGCTTTTGCCAGGGCCCTCAGGAAGACTGGCCCTTCTGGGCATGCATTCACTGCCCAGCTGGTGCAGTCACAAAAGTCCACACCGTGTGTTATCTGGTTCTCAAAACCTTCCATGTTCATCTGCTCGCTTGCTTATGTGCCCATTCACTCCACAGGTATTTAGGGAGTGCCTCCTGTGTGTCAGGCCCAGGCCTTTCCACATGACCAGCCTACTCCTAGGCTGTACCCTTCCTCCTGATCTGCTGTTGGAGTGGCCAGACCATAGCCAAGTCTGCAGGAGGTGTCCAACAAACACTTGCAGGGTGGTGAGCTGATGAGCTTACTGGGCGTGGATGTGGGGCACAGCACCTAGGGAAACTGTGCTGCTTTGAGTTCATATGCAAGCAAACAGTCAGAATGGATCAGTTTTCTGGAAAGCTAGAACTGGAAGGGAGCTTGGAGAGCATCTAACAAAGCCTCCCCTTTCCCAATGAGGAGTGTGAAGCCCACAAGACAGTGCCTATCCTGGTCATGCAGCAGTGACTTGTCCTGGGTCATATAGCAGTCTGTGCAGAGTCCACGTACAACCTCCCACTTTCAGTCCCTTCGACTCTCAAGTTCAGTGTTCTTTCCTTCACATCAGGAGGTGGCTCAAAAGGCACTGCTGCCTTTGCTTGGGGACCATCAATCAATTTTTCAGCTCAGGCATTCATTTACTTCCTCAATCTATAAACCTCCACTAGTTGCCACCTGTGTGTGGCTCTGTGCTGAGACTGAGCAGAACCAGCCGGAGGGTGGGCCATAAGCTGAGAACAAGACCATTGCCACACTGCTCACTGATGTGCAGGTACTGTGTACACAGATGGACAGACAGAGAGCTGAGACTGTGGTCGGCTCCTGGAGTGCCAAAGCAGAGCGGAGAGATGGGCGAGGCCCCACCTTCTCAGAAAGCAGGATGGACTTAGCCTCCCTTCGGTCCCCCTCCAAACCCTGGTGCCTTGACCAGTTCTGGCACTGGGAAGCCTGGAAAGCTGCCTCCATGAAATGGGAGGTAGTCTCATCTCTGACAGTCGGGAGAACCACGAAATGTGTGCAGAGCCATAAAGCGCCACGTGGGCTCAGCATTCCTGAGGTGAAGCCGGATGATTCGACAGCTCTGGTTCATGCCCCCATCCCAGCCCTTTCTCAGGGGTGTGGTCTTAGAACTTGCTCAGTTTCCTCATCTGTAAGGGGGTGGGGACTAAAGCCCTACTGTAGGAGTGTTCAAAGGCAGTAAAAGAGGTGATGGGCTCCAGCTCAGATCCCTGAAGCCCCCTCAAGATGCAAGAGGTTTTTAGGAAGGCTGGCCTGCTCCCCCAACCCCAGTGCCCTGGCTCCTCATGCTGGAGCAGGTCCTTGGCCACCCCTCCCTGTCTCCATCCTCTCCCTCCTTCCTCTTCCTCACCGCCTGAAGTTTCCGAGGCTGGTCACTAGGTGTCACCAGAATCAAGTCAAAATCTCTGAGGACTAGGCAAGTTTTTCTGCTTCTGCAGAGGTAGTTTCCTGAGGTTCCAACTCCTCAGGCCTGGGAGGTCAGAGATGTTCTTCCCTCCCTAGGGTTGCCTGATTAGTAAAAATACAGGACACCCAGTAAAATACTTTCTGAGTATAAATATGTCCAAAAGTTGCATGGGTCATCCTTATACTAAAAGTACTCTTTATCTGAAATTTCAATGTAAATGGACACCTTGTATTTTATCTGTCAACCCTCCTCCTTCCTCCATAGGGACCCTAAAGGAAGTCATGAGAGAGGCAGACTGTCAGTGCCACCCTCAGCCCTACAGTCCCTACTGCCAGACTGCTCACACAGGTGACAGGCCACAGCCTTCTGTGAAAAGGGAGTCAGTCTGGTTCTCTTTCTGAACAGGTGACCAGATGGAGGGAGCCCAGGCATGGGGTGCAAAGTAGTAGCATTCCAAAAGTGTTCCCACAGCAGCCCCTGGGACCTGAGAGGGAAAGCCAGCAAGAACAATGGGGGACTCACTGGCAGGAGCTTCTCTAAGGGCATGAGCAGCTCCCCAGTGCCACAGCCAGCGAGTGTCTGCCACAGTCCCCTCATGCCATGGAGAGGAGCAGGGCTGCAGAGACACAGACCTGGGCTGAATCCTGGCTGCATCACAACCAGCAGCATGCGCTTCTCCTCTCTCACATGCACAATGGGCTGGCAGCTGGCACCTCCCAGCACCTTTTGGGGATTCAAGGGACTCATGGCGCTGGAACAGTAGATACTGAAAATATTCCAAGAGCTTGAATCAGCGGCAGGTACAGTTGCTTTTGGGAATGTAAGTCAATCACTGCCATTTATTCTAACTTAAACAAGTTACCATACTCAGTAAACAAACGTGTGGGTACACAGGGGAACCAGAGTTAGGGACAGGGCAGCAGGGAGGAAGGGCATTCCGGAGGAGGAACCAGCTCAATAGAGGCCTGGAGGTATGAGCCTGTGGAAGGCTAGGGAGTGAGGCTGAAGGGGGTCTCTGAACTGTTGACAGACAAACTTAGGCTGTTCTGCTGGAGAGGCCTTGTGGTAAGAGGAGCCCAGTGGATCCACAAGGTGGCTGTATCTGCCATTGATCCCAGGGCTTGGAAGTTTTTCAGCACCTACTGTGCCAGCTGCAGGAGGGAGCCCAGCCACATGGCAGCATGGTATCCAGCCAAACCCAGAACCTGGAGAAACCCCAAGACGCTGTGTGCCCCGGGCAGCCCTCTCCTGTGCATACTGCTTGGCATGAGGGACGTGAAAACACTTTATAATAACGATACAGGTGATTCAGACATCATCCCTCATGAGATGAATCTCATCCTCTTTTCACTTCCATTTGGCATATTTCCTCTGCACCCGGCCCTGTGTTAGACATAAGAAACACAAAGATGTTGCAGACATGTGCCTGTCCTTCTCAGGAGTTCACAGACTGGTCCTTTCACAGAGAGCAGAACCACTATGAAATACGTGTGCAAGTCAAGAGGAAGATGTGCCTGCCTAAGAGTTAGAGACAGCTTCAGAGAGATGAAAGTGAGCTGGGTTTTGAAGGATGATTAAGAGTTCTCCAGGAAGGGAGGGGCATGGGGAATGGCAGTTAAAGCAGGGGAAAAGGCATGACGGCTCATAATCCAGTAACAAGGAGAACAGCAGGGAGAGGAGGAGGAACCAGGAGGGAGAGGAAGCAGAGCTGGACCAGGAGAGGATTGGAAGGAAGTGAAGGGGGGAGTGCCTGGCATGGGCAGGGTTGGGGCCGGGGGCAGGGCAGGACTAATCTGGCTTTGGAGAGAAAGTACCCTGGCTGCGGTGTGGAAGAGGGAAGGAGAAAGTGGCAAAGACAGGGCCAACAATTGGCAATGCCAGCATTTGAAAAAGACGGCAGGGCAGCAGGGGTGAAGAAGGCAACTGGGTTTGAGAGGTGAGCAGAGCTTGGGAGGCAGGACATGGTCACACTGGGGTATGGGAAGCCAGAGAGGGGAAGGGCCAAGGGCAATGCCCCAGTGCTGGTGCCCCTCTCTGATGTAGGACACACTGGAAGAACAGGTCAGGGTTGGGGCAAGGGAAGATAATGCATTGAGTTCTGAGCAGGTGGGAATGCTGCAGCTGGGGAACCTATCCAGGGGATAGTTGGCTTTGGGGCCAGGACTACGGCTGGAGAAGCGGCCACTGTCAGCCAGGGAGGTGATTAAAGAAGCCCAGGGGAAAGCTAGGAGAGGGCTGAGGACAAGGAGGAGCCAGGTTTAGGGGCTGAGGAGGAATAGAAGAAGACACATGGGACAAAAATGCAGAAAGAGTCCTGTGAGATGATCAATCAGGCTGGGGACAAAAACCCACCTGGCAGGCCTCAGCCAGGTGATGAGGCCCCAGGACATGCTGCAGTCAGCAGGAGGCTGGGCAGATGTCCTTGTAGCCCCGGTCACAACCCAGTTTTCCTAGTGAGGCTGAGAAGGGATCAAACCCCAAATGATCCAGGATGACCCTGGCTGGTTCTACACTGCCCACTAGGTATCTGCCCAGTGTTTTCGGAGCCCACACTTCAGATCTGCACTGGCTTTTCATGCGTTGGACCTGTGCTCACAAATCCCAGGCTGGAAGCTAGGCTGTAGGCTGCAGTGGAGGGGGTGGGCTCTGGCCTGGAGCAAGTCCCAGTTCTGCCATTATCATGCTAGGTGACCTCCTTTCGAGGGCCTCTGCTACTTTACCTCGGGACAAGCATGTGGGCATCTTTTCCCCAAGGGAGGGGCCTTTCAGCTGGGAAGCACCTCAGCCCCACAACATCTCTTCAGCTCTGCCCGGCTGCCTGCTCCCTACTGGGCTCCATACTGGACACTGGGCTGTGTCCAAGAGCAGGCCCTCATCTGAGGGAGAAAAGCCTGGGAGCCGAGATGCGAGAGACAGTACAGGGAGGCTGAGGATGGGGCATGGACAAGACAGAAAAAGTTTCAAAGACAGGGGTGTGTAGGCTCTCCTGGGGAATCAGGAGGGGGTGTCTCCTCAGCAGCATGTTCTTGAATGAGCCATGGTCAGTTGGGGCATTCTAGACAGAGGGAGCCCTGTGAGTGGGGGCCAGGACAAGAAGTTTACTGCAGCTGGTTCATGACATGCAAAGCAAGGAGAGGCTGTAGAGAACCAAGGCCCTCTTGGGAGCCATGGAAAGGTCTTGAGTGGGGAATGACATGACCAGAGGGCTGCTGGAGCTGGATCCATGCTGGAGGGCTGCTCTGGCTGCCATCAGAAGGTTCGATGGGTTAGGGAGACCTGGGGCAGTTGTTGCACTAACTCAGGGAAGGGATAGCAACCTGGCCCCAGACAGAGGGCAGGATGGTGAGTAGCAATCCCTCTGTCTCAAGGGAGTGGGGGTCTGGGCTGCACAGCACTCCTGTTCCTGCCCCTCCATCCATTTGTCCATTTAGTGTCTTTGGTCTTAGGAGGCAGTCAGACCTGGGTTCAAATGCCACCTCTGCTACTTATTCACTACAGACAAATCTCTTTGCTTCTTAGCCTCCATTTTCTGATTTGCAGAATGGGGCAGCTACCTGATTCTATTCTCAGGATTGTGCTTGGTCCATAGTAATGCTCAGCTATGATGCACATGACAGTTCTATTGATGCCAGGGCCAAGTAAGATCTCATTTTAATCCTCACAAACAAGTCTATGATGAAAGACAATAATGTTTGCCCCATTTTACAAATAGGAACTGAGGCCCCAGGACTTGTGGCAGAGAAGGGAGCCAGGGCTAGGCCAGCTACCTCTTGGCCTGATGTTCTCTGGGCTGCAGCTCACTCCCTGCCCTGCACCATCTACTCTGGGAGAGGCAAAGATTCTGCAGCTTAGGGGAAATTTCCCTTGCTAATGTAAAGTCAGCCTTGAGGGTGCCCCCCGGCGCCTCCGGCTCAAGGCCAGGCCAGGAGAGGGGTGTGAAGCTGGGCTCACCAGCAAAAGGAGTTGTTTATGGGGTGGGAGGCTCGTAAAAAATAATGGGCTGGATTTATTGTCCCCTCCTCGAGGGCCATTCCGGACCGCACAGGGCCAGGACAGGCCTCCTCCGGTAGCACCATAAATCTCCCCACTAAGCGATAGAGCTGTTTGTTCTCCCGCCCACCTGGTCTGCAGCAGGCAGGGGAGTGAGAACCTGCAACACTACACATCCTGCCCGGCATGCTAGCCTGGCTGGTCCACCCCAGGCAGTGGCCGAAGAGGGCAGCTGCTGAGGCTGGGAGGGATTCTTGGGTATGGCCATACCATTTCCCTTTCCAAAACAGAAGTTCCTAGCCGTGCTGTCCCAGCACCCACAGCTGATAATGGAAAGCCCTGGAACAGGGCAGTGGATATCCCTGGTCCTGCAGGAACCATGCTGGAGAACCTCAGGTCAAAGCCTGGCCCAGATCCCACAATGTGGGCATCATGTCCCAGGAGCCAACAGGAGCCCAACAGCCAGGCACACTGATAGGTTCCTAAGCCAATATGTGGTGGGGAGTTCGAGAGGACTGTGGGTCTCTGTCCATGGGCTTATTTGACTGTGAAAGTGGGTGAAGCAGGGGACAAAGAACTGGCTTTGGCATCAGAATCTGCCCCAATCCTGAAGTACTGCCCCATGGTGTGGCACAGGAAGCTCAATCTTCCCTCCTGGGATGGGCATGGCAGTGCTCATCCAAAGCACATCACAAGGTGGCCATAAGCATCAGATGATTCTGAGTGGAAACCACAGCAAAGCTGCAGGAGGATAGAGCTGCACCTGCTGAGGACACTGTGGGCTGGGACAGGGTTGGAGGAAGGGTGTGTCCAGTAGTAGGCTTGTAGGCTGTGGACAAATGAGAGCAGGAGTGGTAGAGCGGAAGACAAAGTCAAGAGCAGAGGACCAGCCTAGTGGAGGCGGTGGGAGGACGCAGGACAAGAGACTGGGGAGGGGAAGAGGGGGCTCAGGACAAGGGTTTCAGATACAGGTTGCTTTGGAGGCTGTTCCTTGGTGAAGACCACTAGCTCTTTGCCCTGACCCAACCCCAGGGAACCTATAACCCAAAATTCTCAGGTGATTTTTGTCTAAGAAGCCCCGCAGTCAGTTCCCAGACAGCTGTGGGCTTGAACCAGTAGGCTCAGGCCCCACAGGCAGGGCATACTTGGTCTCTTGCAGTGCTTCTGATCACGGCAGACTCAATTGGGTATGATGTGCAGAGCCTCATCCCTAGCTACTTAGCTGGAAAGCTACTTACTTTACTAGACAGCAAATCTGCCAGTGTCTTGATCTTGGACATGTCAGCTTTTGGAACTGTGAGAAGTAAATTTCTGTTCTTTATAAATTACCCAGTCTCGGCTATTTTGCTATAGCAGCAGGAATGGACTAAGCACAAAATCTTCGCTGACTGAATGAGTGAGTGAGCATTCTCTCTCTCTTTCTCTCTTGGGCTCCTGCACCCCTTGTGATGCATCTGCCAGACCCCTTCACATACCGTCAGCTGGGGCCTGCTTCCAGTCTGCCTCTCCTACAGCATGTGGATTCTGAAAGGACCTGCCCTGGCACAAAGGTGGGGCTTCTGAGTCCTACTCATGGAGGAGGTAGGGTGGGAGAGGCCTGAGCACAGTCACTAAAGTGCAGTATGGATGGCTGGCAGAGTCCTGTTCCCAAGCCCCTAGAACACCCGCAAGGAGAGCCAACACACCACCAGTGTCCCAAGCTGGGTGTCCTGACCTCCAGTGAAGCCCAAATTCCCGAGCTTTTCCTTATACCAGTCAAATCCTAGTGACTGATTCTGGTCTCAGGCTGGCCTGAGCAAGCTGATCAGGAGAGGGAGGCGGACATCTGCCCTTTGCACATGTCTTTCCTGGACACCATGAATTAGATGCCGAGCAAAATGCTAAGCAGGACTTGGCATTTTCAGCTTCTTAAAAAGTGGAGACTGGCTGGCCCTATCTGGAGCTCCAGGTTCCCCAGACCCTCAGGGCTCCTTGCTATGAAGAGAACAAGGCCCCACCTTGTCCAGAGCCACCTGCCACTAAAATATTCCACACCTATGTGACGTGGGTAACAGGCCTCC